TTTATTAAACATAAGCTAACAAAATTCACTGAGGCAAGAAGAAAAAGCAAAAATAAGGTTAAGTGGCATGAATGCGGTTTAAAATTTTGTCACCAAAAGAGAAATTGAATCACCACACAATTTAATGGCCATGGTATTTTTATTAAAATTCTACAGAAGAACTGGATCAAAAGGGGTAAAATGTAAAACAGAATTTCAAATTCTCATGGATTACAAATTTTTTTGGACCCAAGGGGGCTAAATGCATCCTTAGAACTATAACAGAATGTAGAAATTATCAAACAGTATCACATGCAAGAAAAATCTTGCTGAATATTATTTTAAAATAAATACAACAGTACATAGTCAAATCTGGGTTTAGAAGAGGCCCTGGAGCCATGGCTTTCATTGCTGATGTCAGACAGGTCCTGGTTGAAAGCAGAGAGTACCAAAAGGTTATCTGTATTTTATCAATTGTGCAAAGGCATTGGACTGTGTGGATCACAACAAACTGTGGCTAACATTGAGAAGAATGAGAATCCCATTGTGCTTGATTGTGCTTATGTGAAACCTAGACCTAGATCAAGAAGCTGCTGTTTTAACAAAGTAAAGAACACTGCATGGTTCACAATCAAGAAAGAAGTGCATTAGGAATGTAGCCTTTCTCCATACTTTTTCAATCTATATGCCGACCAGATCATTTGAGACAGTAGAAGTTTATGAAAAAGAATGTGGAATCAGGACTGGTGAAGACTCATCAACCACTTGTGCTATGCAGATGACTCAACTGTGCTCACTGAAACTGAGGAGAATTTGAGGGGCTTACAGTGGTTGATGAAGGACTATATAATCTTTTTTTTTATTTAGAGAATACTTTATTAGTTTCTGTAATCAAACCCATGTAGATAAGACCTTACATATTTAATACAGTGCGTTACCCCTGTACAAATGGAAAAAAAATTTAACATTTCTAGACCAATATGGCTGTTAATTTCTGTACAATTCCAACTCAACACGGTACAACTGGGATACTTTTTCCAAAGTTGACAGCACAGCTAGTTTCCAAAAATTCAAATTATATATATATATGTGTATATATATATTTATATAAAAAGACCAATCGCAGTGTTTTATGCATCAATAGCAGCAACAGCTTTTCCAGGCTCTGCAGTCATTGGAACAAAAATAATAGACATCCAGCACACTCCATTAAAAAAAAAGTACAAAACAAAAATCTCAGAAAACAGCAAAATTCTGTTACTGTTGTGGTACCTGGCACCAGTTTGTTTGTTTTTTTTTAAGCTTCTCAATCATCATCTGGAAAGAAAACATTCTAGAATAACATCATTTAAAAAAAACAAAACAAAAACAGCTCTGATATAGCACGGTCACTATTACATATCATAAAGCAGGTACAAGATATTTTACATTCACAGAAGTATGATACAGTACGGTCCTACATCTATAATACTAGAGGATACAATTAAAAAGGCATTATTTGAGACTTGAATCTACTTTTCCAGCAGAGGGTCCAAAGGATGGTGTGACATAGCTCTGGTACAGAAATGCACCCCTTCTAGACAGGATTTCCTTTCATTAGTGGCACAGTTCTAAGTACTCATTACTCTTCATGAATATCAGCTAAAAACCGTTAAAAAGAAAAATCCCACCCAAAATGAAAACAACAAAAAAATAGATTGCATCTAAACATTGGGGGTGTGGGAATATTCCTACCAACCTGGCCAGTAAGCAGAAACATGATAGAGAAGTGATTGGAGGTGTTAATGATGTCATCTTGATATTTCTACCACCTGGCCAGTAAGTAGCAACATGATAGAGAAATGATTGGAGGTGTTAATGATGTCATCTTGTTCACAATCAACATCCTTGGCACCAGCAGTTAGGAAATCAAAAGATTACACTGTATAAAATCTGCTGTCAAGGACCTCCCCTGAGTGTTAAAGAGCAAAAATGCCAATTTAAATATAAGATGTGCTTGATCCAGGCAATGGGTCTTCTCACTTATTTGCTATGCGTAAGAGAGATAGACAATGACTAAAAATGACAGAAGAATCGTTGCCTTTGAGTTGTGGTGCAGAAGAGTACTGAACATACCATTGACTGCCAAGAGAACAAACAGGTGTGTCCTGGTCTCAGGGTGTCTCACATACTTTGGGCATATTTGTCAGGAGAGGCCAATCCTTGGAAAATAGCAACATGTTTGAAAGGGTAGGTAGGTCAGCACACAAAGAAAGCCGCTGGATGAGATGGACTGACACAGTATCCATGACAATGCCATCAGGTATGTCAAAGATGGTGAAGATGGCTCAGGATAGGGCAAGGATCAGAGCTGCTGTTCATACGGTTGCTATGAAAGTGGTCAACTCAATGGCACATAACAGCAATATGATGTAATCATCTTCATGATATGAGCAGCCAGTTGGGAGTGCCTTTAAGGGCTCAGTTTGCATTTCCTGTACATGGGCACCTGGCAGAGTTCTCTTGCATTTTAGCTTGACCTGGATCCTGAATTTGGCTCATCACCATCTGGCCTCCAGTTCTCTGGACTTGAGCCAGGAAGCTGCCTTGAATAAACCTTGAATTTTCTAGCTGAAGAAGTCAGTAGTATGCTCTCTGATCTGTCCACCTTGGGGCTGTCAGCCCCTGTGGCTTTGCTGAGTCACAAGAAGCCTTTAGCCTGACATTTTGCCAGGCTCTACAAGCAAGTCTCTGTACACACATGCACGTACGTTTCATTAGTCTTTTTAAAAAAATTTCGTAATTTTTTGTGTGTACCATCAAATCGGATCTGACTAGTACAAGAAATCGTTCCTCCTTCTCCAGCGAAGGATGTGGTGGATTTGAAGCGCAAGCCTCTGGGATTGCAGTGCAGCTTCTTGCTACGTTTCATTAGTCTTTAGGATTACTTTTCATTAGACTTAGTCCAGCCCAAGACAAAGGCCTCAGCATTTCTCTGTATGTGTGTGTGTATCTATATATCTTTATCTCTTTAGGAGTTGCACTAGTAACCTGAAGGCAGTGCTTCTGGTGGTTTGAAATCACACATTGCTTCACAGGAGAAAGATCCTCATGTGGGATTTACAGTCTCCAAAACCCTGCTTAAGGGTCAACTGTGAGTTCTGACTGGATGACGAGTACATGTAAATATTATATAAAGATGCCCTGCAGGTGGTACCAACTCAAGTCCCGGGTATGTTTGTGGAGAACTACGCTCGTTTTCAATGGTTGACTTTTCAAAAGTCTATCCCCAGGTCTTCCTTCTACATCTCTACATAGACTCGAACCACCATCTTCTTTGCTTAGCAGCCCATTATCTTAACCATTTGTACCTGGTCGCCTTAATGTAAGAGAAGCCAAAGCCCAGACTCCCTGCTGTGGCGCCAGTTCCCACTCATGGTTACCCTGCACTGGTTTCGGAGGCTGTGAATCTTAATTGGAGGTGAACCTCTCATCTTTCCTAGAGCAGCTGATGGGTTTGAACCGCCCGTTTTCCGGTCATCTGTCCAACACTTAACCTACTACACCACCAGGCTCCTTGATGATGTGGACAGTTTGTTAGGTGCTGCTGAGTTGACTAAGACCCACAAGAATCAAATATAGAACAGAAGGAAATCAACCTTTCCAGACCTAGTCATGGCAGAACAATCTCAAACTCACAGCTATGCAGTTGCTCGTAACTGACCCTCTAGCTGGTTTTCAGGTTATAAATGGCACTGGAGGGATGGACCATCTTCTACCTGTGATGTTCTCAGTGGATATGAATCTTCAGAGAGGTTCTGCCTTTGGGTTGGCAGCACAACTCCTTACCAACTACACCACCTGCGTTCTGATCCTACATCACACATTAACTCCATGCAGCGTTTTCCAGCGAAGTCTACGAATGCCATGCTGGATTGTCAAGTCTGGCAGATGACGTATTAAGTGTCTTGGGAGAAATAATGGAGGAATTCTCTTCTCAGGGTCTCTGAGTGGCAAAAATATTTAACACACTCAAATGTTACTGAAAGGCTGGAGGTTCAAGTCCCCAAACAGGCTCACTGAAAGAAAAGTCTAAATGAGCAATTGAAAATCCCATGGTGTAAAGTTCTAAACCAATACATGTTAGGTGTCCAGAATTTGGAACAAACTCCTCTGAAGCAATTGCTTTTTTTCCTCCCTTTATTCTTTATAAGATTTTGTATGGTAATAAGAGTTATAAGTGACCTTCTGATAAGAACACAGCAACAGAGAAAGAGTATTTCGGCTAGATTCTAGATATCGTTGTTAGGTGTTGAAAAGTAAGACTCATAGAGACCCTACTAGAAACAGATCTGAACCCTGTCCTATCCTGTGCCATCTTCACAATCTCTGGCACCCTACATACCAATTAAAAAGTAGATTCACTGATGTCTTCTGACAATCAACCAAAGGCTATAGGCCATGACTAACCTTTTCAAGGAGGGTGATCAGGGCCCAAATAATTTCTGAAGATCCTAGTCTTCAAATAAATATTTCAGTGTACCCTGAAGACAGTTAATGCTACTACAGATGGCTCCAAATGTTGTTTGCAGAACTACAGCTTCTGAACCCCCACACCAAGACTGCTCCTCTAAGACTATGGAATTCATCATAACTCTAAGAACCATGTTATTTCCAGATACTGGAGAAAATGAAATCAATGATTTGGTAGAAAAGTCAGTCAGCACAGAATTTAAAATAGCTGGTAAACAGATTTGAAATCTGAACTTACCTGTGATTCCTCTCTCTCTCCTCCCTACCCCCCCCCAAATATTTTCAAACACACACACACACACAGTCCCCCCCCTCCCCCCCATTCAGACTGTAGAAGCTGCTGTTAAAGATGGAGAGATATTTAAGGGATTGCAAGAAGGGGCGGGGAGAAGCAGTTAGCCATTAAAGTGCATGGGGCCCACACAAACTCAATGAAGAAGTCCTGAAACTGTTCTCTTTCTTGCTTTAATGACTACATTCACTCCTTTTTAGAATAATACAAAGAGACCAGAAATAATCATCATTTATCATTTTTTTATTAAAAAGTGCATTTTGATTAATTTATGATCTAGGTAAGCTGTAAGGTATCAGTATATTCTCTGGAATAATAACTTTACAAAGATTTAAAACAAACAAATTTTTAAAAGCCTTTTTATTTCCTTCACCGTTATTGTTTTACAATACAAAGATCACCTTGTGGATACATACACACAAAAAACCCCTATAGGAGATAATTCTGCGGCACGTAAAATACAGAATGGATATATATACTTCTTCGTCCTTAAAAAACTATTTTGTTCTCCATATTGGCAAGTATAGAATAGAATACTTCCCCAAACATACCTTGGTAGGAGTAAAACTTAGAGGAGTTCCATGCAGTTTCTGCACAAATATATTTTAAAGAAATAGATCTCTTTTTTGTTGTTGTTTACCAACAAAATTGTCATGAGAGTATGGAAAAGAGATTCCATGTTTTAGTTGGGTGATAATTTTTAAAACTCTTATTTATTTTAAAAAAGGGGTATCCATGGCTGTTTTCATTGTATAGTTAAAATCAAACTACCAAAATAAATGCTAAAATAATCTAAGTAATACATGTTGTTGCCACCTACTCACAATATGTGAACAGGCTCTTATTCTTAATTAGCTTCCCCATTGTTTAATTCAGACCAATTTAAAAGCCATAAACAGTCTTCTGATTTACGTTAGCTATAAATGCAAAATTTAGTAGTGTATACATACATTTCATGGAATACTTTATTTGAAAGAAAAACATTGAAGATTGCCTACTGACCATACAATCAAGACAAGAAAGGCACTAGAAACATAGACAAATTTCTCTCCCAAGAAGCATTTTTAAATTTTAACTCTTCTCTCTGACATGTAAAAATCTTTAAATTTGGTTTTCATAACATCATTTTGAAAAATAAAGTTAGGAAATACTTAGAAAAATCACTTTATAACAGAATCTTTTTTTTTTTTGCACTTTTTTGACACTCTCTGCTGATTTTACAAAAACCCAACAAGTTATCAAACCTTTCTGTGTCTGTCATTTTTATTTGAAAACTGGTGCCACAGGCAGAAAGATTTCAGAAACAAACTCCGTTCAGGTACGTTGAAACCTTCATAGCGACATTTCCTAGAAAATGGCTTACAGCCCAATCTTTGGGGCAAGAGATATGAAAAGTATGTTTTCCCAAGAAAATAATACGCTTTATTTCCAGATGTGACTGGAAAGACCAGAACTTATGATATAAAAGCTTTTACATTTATGCTGTTGCATCATATACAAAGGAACATGGTAGTCATGGGTTATGTAAATCCCAAACCTATGAACAGGAAATGTGTACAGTGCATGATAGGTGAAATTTTCTTTATTTTGTCCAACACGGGTCCTTTGGAGAGAAAAAAGATCACAGTGCTGACCAGGTAACTCAATAGGTTAAGTCAAGGTAACGGTTGAAAGATAATAGGATTAGGGAGGTGTTTATTTTTATGGCATCTTCTCTCATGGAGTTCTTAGCACTTTGGACAGTTCCTCGTTCCCCCACTTTGTACAGCTGTTATGTGTCGTTCACCAATCGGCTGTATTTAACTTGCCTACTGAGGTGGACTACGGGCCAGGGGAAGGGCCAGTGGTAAGATCGAGGTACAATTCCTTGGACGTTCTTTTCAAAGTACTGAAATGGCCTGTACCACCACACTCTGGCCAGGAGGTTCATCTGAGAAGCTTCTTTTAGCACCTAACATAACAGAGAAAGGAAAAACATGTCAAGAAGGATGCTTAATTGTTCCCATCTCAAAAGGAGAGCAAAGGGGAGCTCTGGTGGCCTAGTGGCAAGAAGCTGCATTGCAATCCCAGAGGCTCATGGTTCAAATCCACCAGATGCTCTGCTGGGGAAGGAGGGACACTCTCAATCTCCTCCAGTACCAGTCAGATCCGATTTGATGGTACACACACAAAAATTTAAAAAAAAAAAAGGAGAGCAAATGGTTTCCTTATAATCTTTAAGTTCAAACACTTCTCATATTCAAATTTATTAAGAATTCCATTTGCACGCACATGTCCCAGCTTCACACCCGTATCACCATTCCCCAGGAGTCTCTACTTATCTGTAAATGATCCACATACTAAGAGAAACCCCAAACCTCCCAATTTTGGAAGAACAAGACTATCTTCTGGCTTATTTACTTTTTGGCTACATAAATGAAGACTTCAAATGGTGATGTGGTTACTCATGTACTAAACAATACTAAAAACGTTAAGTAGTGAATTAGTAAGGAGCTGTAGGTGGGAAGAAGAGTGTCAGAATGCAAATCAATGGGTGGACACTGGCCAAACAGTAATAGTGAAGTAATTTTCTGTTATTATATCACCTTTTTTTTTTTAAAAAAAAGAAAAAATCTTGATTCTGAAGGAAGATTAAAATCACAAAACATAGCATAATCTTAGTAGATGACTTTTAAGAAAAAATGGAAACTAGACATTTGTGAATTCATGGGCGGGGAGGGGTGTGTCTCCATTCCCAAGCAGGTAACATCAAACCAAGAGATGAGAAGACAGAATCAAATGAGGGCGGGTACTCACTTGCTGATTGGCCATAGTGTGATACCACCAGAAGAGTCTCGTGGTGATGTAATACGCCACCACCACGTCCACAGTGTAGTGGTCATGCGCCAAGAGAATACAGAAGATTCCAACTCTGCTGAGGATCCAGCAAATCCACGGGTACCACCAGAGTCGCCGAGGAGAATCTGGGATGAGGAGAAATTAAGTACCATTAAGTGATGCTAATTCTTATGATTAGAAATACCTTCCATCATGCCTTCTGAAGCTAGATCTTTCAGAGTAGCAAATCTAAGGGCTAAATGTCTCTTAGCTTACTTGATACCAAGATGAAAAGAGAAACAGCTTATATATAACTGTAACATCAATAATAATCCATATTTGGTTTTTACTTGAGTCATATAAATACAGTTTTAATGATCACACAAGTAAGGCTAGGTTAATGCATCATGCTCTACTTTTTTAAGGAAAACTGTCAAATGACATTTCATGGAATCTGTGCTTCTAGATGACTGAGTGTTGCAAGTGGTGCTTGACTACTGCTAAAAGGTTGGTCATGAACCAACCAAGAGGCAGGTCACAATTCAGGCCTGATTCCAAAAGTCACAGCCTTGAAGTCTCAGTGGGGTAGTTCTACTCTGCAGACGTGGCGCCTCCCGGAGTTGGAATGTCCTTGAATGCAATCAACAAATGCTCTCCACAAAACCCAGTATTTACTGGTCTCTCCGTTCTTATATGCGGGCTAAGCAATTATAATTGACACAACTATCTTACTTGCTTTCTAAGCCCAACTATTTGCTAACTAGAGAGTTTTTGTTTTTATTAAAATTTTACTTCCCCCCTTTTGACATTATTTTTTAAATTATAATTTTAACTTGTTTACATAAAAGTTGGATTTTCATTCATTCACTGTTGCACATTTTCCTCCCCAACCCCATCCAGTTCACTTAAAAAAAAGTATTACTGTTGCATAATTTACTCCACCCTCTGTTATCCTCCGCCCAGTCCACTTTGCTGTGACCCTCTTATTTTAGATTGTTGTCAAACAAATAATGCCTATTCATGCATTCTTTTTAAATGGTTCTTTCCCTTATCTGTTCCAATACAGTGTTCATTATTTATTCCCTCTATTTTTAGTTTCCCACCAACCCCCATGACAGTTGTTTTAGAACAAAGCAGTATAACACTATGCTATAGTTTTATAACACTATGCAATATTTGTCCTTTTGTGACTGAGATAATTCACTCAGCATAATGTCCTCCAGGGTCACCTATGGTGTGCAGTATTTTATGAATTCCTTGTTTTTCAGTGCGACACAGTATTCCATTGTGTGACTATACCCTAATTTTCCCATCTATTCTTTTGCTGATGGGCAACTGGATTGCTACCATGTCATGTCCAATAAATACGAGTGTACATTTATCTTTTCGGATGGCAGCTCTGGTTTCTTTAGGGTATATTCCTAGTAGTGGAATTTCTGTGTCACATGGTATTTCTATTTCCAACCTTTTGAGAAAGCTCCATTTCACCTTCCATAGTGGTTGCACCTTTTTACACTCCCATCAGCAGTGAATAAGGGTTCCAATCTATTTAACTGGAGAGATGTTATGATTTTCAATTCTCAAACACTAAAAAAATACAATCCAAATGTCTGGGAATTCCAGTCCAAGAGCCTCACTAATGATAGGGCTATAATTGCTCTTAGTTTCTATTAAGTCAATCCCAACTTGTGCTGATTCCCTGTGGTCAGAGAAGAACTGTGTCATATGGCTTTCAAGGCTGTGTTGACTTTTCAGAAGCAGATCACCTGAACTGTCTGCTTAGGCAGTCTACATCCACACATACTGTAGTGGTGAGCAAGTTGAACCACCCATTTTTTGGCTGTTGTTATGTGCTGTCGAGTCACCTGCGACTCATAGCGACCCTATGTACAACAGCCCTAAACTGTGCCCTAACCTGTGCCAATCTCACCATATCCGACACACTTACCCCATTATCCCAGTCACTGACTCAATCCATCTCATTGAGGGTCTTCCTCTCCTGTGCTGTCCCTCCACTCTGCCCAGCATGATGTCCTCTTCTAGGACCAACCTGTTTATTCTCCTAACAGTCCATGATATATTAAAAACTCTTCTCTTGTACCACAGTTCAAAGGCATCAATTCTCTTTCTATCATCCTTAGTCACTGTGCAGCTCTCTAATGCTAACGCAAGCAATTGCAAAGACTATGGCCTGGATCAGGTGCACCTTAGTCTCCAGACTGCCACTGTTTCTCTTCAGTACTCTGGAGATGTCCCTGACAGTAGACTTTCCCAATGCAATTAATCTCTTGATATCCTGACTGCTGGTACCAAGAGTACTGACTGTAGAGCCATGCAAACTAAAGCTGTCAACAATCTGAATCTCTTCACCATCCATCCTGATGCTGCCAAATGACCCAGTGGTGAGAATCATTGTTTTCTTTGTTGAACTTCAATCCATATTGAAGGCTGTTGTCTTTGAGCTTCTACAGCAAGTGCTTCAGGTCCTCCTCAGTTTCAGCAAGCAAGGCTGTATCATTTGCATAACACAGGTTGTTGATGAGTCTTCCTCCAATTCTGATGCCATACTCCTCTTCATAGAGCCCAGCCTCCTGGATGATCTGTTCTGCATATAGATTGAAAAAGTATGGAAATAGGACACATCCCTGGTGTACACCCTTCCTGATTTTGAACCATGCAGTGTTTCCTTGCTCTGTTCTGACAACTGCCTCCTGGTCCAAGTATAGGTTTTGTATTAGCACAATCAAATGTTCTGGGATTCCCATTCTTCTCAGAGTCAGCCACAGTTTATTGTGATCCACACAGTCATATGCCTTTGCCTAATCAATGAAACACAGATAGACATTCCTCTGGTACGCTCTGCTTTCAGCCAAGATCCATCTAACATTAGCTATTATATCCCTAGTACCATGGGAAATTAAACAAAAACAAAACAAGAAAATCTATCTATCTATCTATCTATCTATCTATCTATCTATCTATCTATCTATCTACCTACCTATCTATCTATCTCCCTCCCTCTTTGTCTATATTCCCATTTAAGAGGACATCTGAAGGAATATAAAAACCTCTAGTAAGATAGATATTTCTACTCTGTGTTCTCATTGGAAGGAACACAGAGGGTTAGAAATTTTAGACAAATGTTTAAATGTGATCTACCATGGGGTAAAAAGATGAGGCTTATACTCGTTCTCAAGTGGTTTAAGAAGCATTCATTCACACACTAACATTTATTGAACACCTATTATGTGCCAGGGCCAGTTACCAGGAATAGTGAACAAAAGAGCCAAAGAGTTCTCTTTGGGATGTCCTTGTCAACAAGAGTGATAATATTCAACAGTTACCCTGAATAAGTAAATGATACATTATGTTAGAAGATATTAAGTGAGATAGAAAACGTGGGGTTTTGTTTAAAAAGAGTCTGAGCAGTGTAAGGGAGGTAGGAATCAGAGTGCAGGCAGTAAGAGGCAGCGGTCACCTTAAGTGGTAGTCAGGGTAGAGCCTCAGTGTATTTCCAGGGCTCCACATTCCTTTGCAGGAACACATTATTACTATTATTAACATCTTAACAAAGCAACAACTACAACAAACAGCAGGTACTACTTATTCTATGCATACCTGTTAGTACCTAGACAAGTTATAATTTTAACTTACAACTCCTCCCACAAAAGTAAATTTCAGCTCTCAACAATAACTCATACTGAAAATGAAGCTAAGGCATTCCCCCAAGGTTGCAGAGTGAATGAGTAATGGCATCAGAATTTAAAAAATCAGAATTTCATGACCCAAGAATTTCCATGCTTCCCAGCTGGGCACACACTCTCAATCTCCAAGAAGAATGGCCTCGTGCCATGCCATGCTTTCAGGGATGGGCCATCAGGCATGGGGGCAGGATGAGGCTGCTGCTCTCCTGGAGAACATGAGGAATGGCAGGTGACACAAGGCTGAGGGACGGTCCGCTTGAAGACTTACACTCTTTGATAAATAAGTGAGTGAGTGTTAGCATGACCGTGTGGCCGCTGTACAGGTAGTCCCCACACATGCTGTGAGAGCCAGTAATGGACAGGCCGCCTCCAGCAATGAGCTTCATTATTCTTCGCAGCTGGGCTTCCCAGTCTCCGAAAAGCTAAAGGGGAAAGGAAACAAGTCTCATTATCAGCTCATGTGAGTGCGTGTGCTATGATTACTACATCCACCCAGGAATTAAGTCTGAATTAACACACAGAATCTGTGCCATCAGGTTGGATCACTCCGCATGCAGCTTCCCAGCAGCCCCTGGTCCAAGAGATAAAGCATGTGGCCAAGACCTTTCCTTAGATATCAGTACTTAAACAGCACATTTCAGCAGCTCTGTCTCCAGCATTTTCATTACACCTATACCTAAGGAAAGATTAACTTACTGTTAACTCCCTTTATGGGGAAAGAAACCTTTAAATCTATACTGAAAAACTTAGGTTTTCTCACCATGGTTAGTTTAAAGGACAACTACTCTAAAGTAGCTGGAGGGTGGGGCAGCAAAAAAATATGAAAGATTTAGGGGAAATGATTCTATGAGACCAAACTGAAATAAGAGACTGAAAAGGATATGCCTTAAGCCTCCTGAAATTATATGGGTAACAAGATGTTTTTCCTTTCAATAAGATTGGGGGGCGGGGGGAAAGCCTATAAACAAATCTACTTCAATGGAAGTCTGATCTGGATACTAGTAATGGTTTGAACTAGCTCATATAACTTTTATTTGTTCTTTCAAATAAAATGCGTGTGTTGTCTGTATTTTATAGGCATGTTAGTCAGCATTTTTTAAATTGTGGTTGGCCAATTTAATCACCATAATCCCTTTTCAACATTTAACTGATATTACAACTTTAGGAGACATCTATTTTACAACAATTTCCCTTTTAAATAATTATTAGGACCTCCAATTACAGATGGCAGTTGGAACATATCATTTAGAAGAGTGACGTGCTCGTTCACTTTGAGTTTCCAGGGTGAAGGGTATCACTGATTGTCCAACACAGGAAGGAAAAAAATCCAAACCCATCTATACACGAAGCCAGCATCATGCGATGCCAGTCTCAGGATTAAGAAGATGCTGTAGGGCTTCCAGAGATTAAAACTAAGCTTCCAATCAAGGACCAGGAATCAGTCTTTCCTCAGAAGCAGTACTAGAAGCTAGAAGGCTTTGGAATGGTGTCTTTACAATTCTAAGGGGAAATGACTGCTTCTAAGTTTGTACTCAGTCACATTATTAACTGAAGGAGCTCAGCTGGTTAACACGAGGCTGCACCTCTGGTGTTCTGGATCCATCAGCTGCTAATATGGGAGAAAGATGAGCGGTCTCTTTCTGTTAAGATTTACAGTCTTGGAAATTGGCTACAGGGTCAGCTCCGAGTTGGTTCTGTTTTGTTGGCAGTGAGTTTGGAGTTTCTATTATTAAGGAGCCTAGTTACTCACTCAATCATTGCTGTCAAGTCAGAACCACTCAAGGGTTGACCCTCCAGCTGGCTTCAGAGGTAGAAAATCTCAAGGAGATTTTTCTCCCAAAAAGCCCCTCGTAGACTTGAACCACCAGAGAGGTGAGGGCTCTCTGCAAAGGAGCCACAGAGATCCCTAAGCCAATTTTCATAAGGTTGTTGGGTGCTATCACCAAGAGGACACTGTGTGCCATAGAACAGAATGGTGCCCAGTCCCATGCTACCCCCATGATCGGCTGCAGACGGGCCCACTGTGATCCACAGGGTTTGCACTGGCTGGTTTCCAGAAGTAGATCAACATGTCTTTGCCCCAAGCCCACCTTATCTGGAAGCTTCGCTGAAACGTGCCCAGCAGTACTGAGTCTCCATGGAAGACAGATGGTGACTGCACATGAGGTTCACTGGGACTTGAACCCAGGTTTCCCACCCAGAAGGCAAGAATTCTGTCACTGAACCACCACTGCCTTCAGTATTTTATAATGCACTATTTCAACAGATTTACCAACTATATACTTTCTCATGAAATTAGAGAGGGTATGTACTACAAAACAAGGGAGTAAACAGAGAAGAAATGGGCCTCACCAGAATGACAATGAATAGAGTCTGAATGCTGTTTAACAAGCTAAGCAACTGGCCAGTCCCATTTGTGAGGCTCCGGAGACATGGCCTCAAGAAGATGAAATAAAAGAATATCTAATACCTCTGATTGTATTGAGAATCACAACTTGGGGGTGAATAAGTACAGAGAAAACTAATAAAGCAAGAAGGAAAGCAATTATTAATGCCACAGGAAACAAAGTGTGGAAAAGGAAAAGCCATTATAGGAAATACACGGCTTAGCTGTGAACTGCATTTCTAGAACTGTAATAATGTAAGCAATGAAAACTGAGCTAACCAAAGGGCAGAGAACCACACCAGGAAGACAGGACAAGAGACCTAAGTGTGCATGTGGAACGGTGTGGCTGGGGAGAAGGGACAGGATCAGCCAAGCCGGCAGGAGCCCAGGTGGGATGGGGCATGAGGATAGTCAATCTTGCACTTGGGAACAAAAGGTGTTACACAAAAATTCACAAAGTAACAGTACTGGTGTTAATATGAATGTAAAACTATCTGTTGAAGAAGGTAAGTATCACAAGATTCAGTTATAAGGATTGAAAGGGAGAAGAAAAAGTTAGGGTTAGTGTTAGGTCTATTAAGTTCTGGAGAGCATTCTATTTTTAAGATGGCATGTGGGCATAAACATGATATAGTATTTGAAATGTTTAAGTAAAAAGGTGGGCTAGTTGTATCATAATAATGGATGTTTTGAAGGGGAGAACTACGGCAAAGGAGCTCTGAGTTCACTTCATTTTTCCAGTATTTTTATATGGTCCCTCCCAAGCCCTGTTTTGAAAAGTCTAACCTCCATCCTCAAGGTGGCATTGCTTCTTAATGCACCCTCCCATTTTAACAGGAAAATGTTTGTGGGAAAACTGTATGTGTACTGCAGGGGGGTAGGAAGGTGAAATAGGTAAACATGGTACTGAGGACAGTCAGTGAGGAAAACATTTCTTTTTAGTATTCTCAAAACCCTAAAGTTTTCTTTTTTAAAATGTCATTCCACATTCGCCAATCCTCTTCAGAGGAAAGCCGCCTCCAGAAACTAAAAGGGACTATAGATGAAAAGTTTAAATTACATTGTTTTACAAAAGATGACAAATTAGAAATTGGCAGAACTGAATGACTGGGACAGAAACAAGCTAATGCATTCACAGTGTACACAAACAAGTTAAAAAAAACATTCAAGGCAAGGTTAAAAGATGTGACATAAACTGCCAGGTCGACAGAAATAAAGGTAGCGTGAGGTCAGGATTTTTAGAATGACTTTTCTATCCTCTCCCTTAGACCTGACCACACAACCAGGTGGGACTGCGCAAGTAAACTGAACCTTTGAAGCTCCACCTGGCACTCTTAGTCTCGCTGGGGGCTTGGTCTCCAGCTGCCTCAATGGCAGACAAGTGGCTCCCTGATGATCAGCATCTTCAACATCATCAACAGCTTTGAGGAAAACATAAGAGAGTTAACCAGACTACAGCGAGGCTGTAGCAAGGCATAGTCAGTGCCAGAGCCCTTGAAGAGGGGCACCTCAACACCTGGAAGGACGAGGCAGAGAAAGCAGTGCGCACCCTTCAGGGCCAGAGGTATTTTGCTGTTGACTGAGAAGCAGCTTGCATTAACTGAAGGACTGTGTTTTGCTGCTGTCTAAATGAACTGAAGAACTGTATCTTTGTTAACCTGGCCCTAGAACTGCTCCTGACTGAACCTAGACTTTCACTGTGTGCTATCTTTTATCTTCCCCCACCCCAAACCTCTTTCCCTAATAAACTCCACAACTGTGAGTAAAAGGGTGTTAAATCTGTGTGCTTATTTGCAATGACTTTTGGACCCAGTAATTAGTAGAAGTAGATGGAGCAGAGGGAACTAGTGATAAGAAGTTGCACTGCAATTCCAAAGGCACATGGCCAGTAAGGACCAGTCCTTAAGGAAGGACATCAGGCTTAGAAGGGTGGAGGGACAGCACAGAAGAGGAAGATCGTGGATGAAATGGACTGACACAGTAACTAGAGCACTGGGGGCAGGTGTGTTGGAGTCAATAAGACTGGCTCAGAACAGGGCAGGTTCAGAGGTGTTATACACAGGGTCGCCGTGAGTTGCAGGTAACTCAATGGCACATAACAATAACATCTTTAGACTCCCTTTAGCAATTAGGCCAGAGAAAGCCTCGCACACATGTAATACCCTAAATGTCGTGAAGACAGTCGGCATGAATTTGGACAGGATTTCTCCCTATAATGGGTCACCTCCCTGTTCCTCCAAACACAAAAGAGGGATTTGGGTTTGTTTTTGTTTTTTTTTGTCTGGGCCATGAGGCATGGGGAAAATACAAAGCCAAAACAAAACTAAAAACAAAGGAAGAAAATAGAAGCTCACCACTGCATGTTTTGTTTTCTAGCATTTCCTTTTCAGGGTTCTCTGAGCACTGCTCCATGAATTCTGTCCAGTTGTGTGTTTTTTTGAACATGTGAGAAGAGAGCGTGGAGAGCACTTACTTTTGCTGTGATTGGATCTGAAAACTCCCTTACCGAGAGGCTCCGGAATTTCCATTTTAAAAAACAGAGCTTTTCTCAGGAGATGTACACAGAAAATTCTTCTTAGGGGACACTACCAAGCTGTGCCAGAAAGTCTCAGGGCAATGCTATTATGTGAACTATGGTCTCCCAAAGCCATAGCAAATTGTTTCTGAGTCTGAATTATATAACTTCTTTCAATTTCTAATGAATGGACAAGAAATTAAGTAAAAGCAGCCAGAGCACATATGTACGAATGGTGCATAGCGAGAAAAAGAGCACAGAACAGGGCTGGAAAGGCTTCCAGAACAGGCTGACCACACAGGTGCATTTACAACCAGTGAACCGCTGGCTATCAAAAAAGTTCAGTCCGCAGATGGCCTGCAGCGCTTGTGCACTGTCTGAACCCCATTTCCAGGGGTGACCTTTCGTGGTGCTCCAGCCCCTCACCGGCAGGAGGAGAACCCGGCACTGACTCACAGCAGATGAGCCTATATGGATTCTCAGGTTGTCTTGGGAATCTTTACGGGAGCAGATCACTAGGT